GGTGTGTGGGAGCTGGTGCGGTGGAGATGGTGGTGTGTGAGGAGATGGTGTGGTTGTGGGACAAGATGGTGGTGGGTTTTCTGTGGGAGTGGTTGGGTGTGTGTGGGAGATGGTGGTGGTGTGGACGATGGTGCGGTGGTGTGGGAGCTGGGGTGGTGGTGTGGGAGATGGTGGTGATGTGGGAGCTGGTGGTTGGTGTGGGAGCTAGGTGGTGTGTGGGGACAGTGGAGGTGAGTGTGGGGAGTGGTGGTGGTGTGGGAGCTTGGTGGTCGGTGTGGAGTTGTTGGTGGTGTGGGAGCTGGTGGTGGTGTGGGGACGTGGTGGTGGTGTGGGAAAACTGGTGGTGGTGTGGGAGTGGTGGTGGTGTGGGAGATGGTGGTGGTGTGGGAGTGGTGGTGGTGTGGGAGCTGGTGGTGGTGTGGGAGATGGTGGTAGGTGTGGGAGACGGTGGTGGTGTGGGAGATGGTGGTGGGTGGGAAGATGGTGGTGGATGTGGGAGCTTGTGGTGGTGTGGGTAGATGGTGTTGGTGTGGGAGATGGGTGGTGGTGTGGGGAGTGGTTTTGGTGTGGGAGATGGTGGGGTGTGGGAACTGGTGGTGGTGTGGGGAGCTGGTGGTGGGTGGGAGATGGTGGTGGTTTGTGGGAGCTGGTGGTGGTGTGGGAGCTGGTGGTGGGTGTGGGAGGAGGTGTGGTGTGGGAGATGGTGGTGTGTGGTGAAGATGGTGGTGGATTGTGGGAGCTGGTGGTGGTGTAGGGAGCTGGTGGTTGTGTGGGAGACGGTTGGTGGTGTGGGAAATGGTGTGGTGTGGGAGTATGGTTGTTGAGTGTGGACTGGTGGTGGTGTGGGAGATGGTGTTGTTGGGAGGAGTCGGTGTGGGTGTGGAGCTTGGATTGGTGGTTGTGGTGAGACGGTGTGTGAGTGGGAGATGGTGGTGGTTGTGGGAGATGTAGTGGTGTGGGGAGATGGTGGTGGTGTTGGGACGATAGGTAGGTGGTTGTGGATATAGGTGGTGGTTTGTGGGAGAATCTAGGTGGTGGTGTGTGGAGTATAGGTGGTGTGATGTGGGATCTGGTGGTGGTGTGGGAGATGGTGGTGTGGTGTGGGAGGTGGTGGTGGTTGGAGGGAGCTGGTGGTGGTGTGGGAGCTGGTGGTTGATGTGGAGAGGGTGGTGGTGTGGAGATGGTGAGAGTGGTGTGGAAGATGGTGATGGTTGTGGCGTGTTGGTGTTGGATGTGGGAGTATGGTGGTGGTGTGGGAGATGGTAGTGGTGTGGGAGATGGTGGTGTGTGTCGGAAACTGGTTGGTGGTGTGGGGTGGTGGTGGTGTGGCGAGATGGTGGTGGTGTGGGAGTGGTGGTGGTGTGGAGATGGTGGTGGTAGTGGAACTGTGGTGGTAATGTGGGAGATGAGTGGTGGTGGTGTGGGAGCTGTGTGGTGGTGCGGGTGTGGGGGGTGGTGGTGTAGGGAGATGGTGGTGGTGGTGTGTGGGAGTGGTGGTGTGTGGGAGCTGGTGTGGGTGTGTGGGAAGCTGGTGGTGGTTGTGTGTAGGGAGCGGGGTGGTGGTAGGGGTGCGGGCGTGATGCTAGTGTGGAGAGGACATGCGTGCTGGCGAGAGGGGCGTGGTGCGTGCTGGTGGTGGGTGGTGCGGCGTGCTTGTGGTGGAGGGAATGTGGCGTGACTGGAGTGGAGGGGTGCCAGCATGCTGGAGGTTGGAGGGGTGTGGGACGTGCTGATGCTGGACGAAGTGTGCGCGTGCTGGTGGTGGGGTGTGAGCATGGTGGTGGTGTGGAAAGGTTTGGGGCGTGCTAGTGGGGTGGGCGGTGTGGGCGTGCTGGTGAGGGGTGCGGGCGTCGTGGTGGTGGAGGGGTGGGGACGTGAGTTGGTGTGTGACGGCGTGCTGGCTGGAGGGGGTTGCGTGGCGTGCTGTTGGTGGCCGGAGGGTGGGGACGTGGGGCTGGTGGTGAGGGCGTGTGAATGGAGGGGGTGTGGAGTGCTGGTGGAGAGGTGCGGGCGTACAACGTGCTGAACGTGGAGGGGTGTCTGGTGGTGAGAGGTGTGCTGGTGGTGAGGGTGTGCTGGTAGGTGAGGGTACCGTGTGGTTGTGGGGCGTGCTGGTAGGTGGGGGGCCGTGCTGGTAATAGTGGGGGCGTGTTGTAATAGATGGAGGCGTGTGGATGGTGGGGGCGTGCTGTGTAAGGGCGTAGGCTGGCATTAGTGGAGGGCCGTGTTTGTGTAATAGTGGCGGGCGTGCTGCGGGGAGTGGGGGCGTGCTAGTGGTGGGGTCGTGCTCGGTTAGTGTGGGGGATTGATGGTGTTGGTTGCGTTACTGCTTTTGGGCGTGCTACTGAGTTACAAGAAGTTGGGCGTGTGATGTGGTATAGGGTTGGTGGGTGGTGGAGGGCCGTGTTGGTAGTGACGGGTGGGGTCTAGTTGCTGGTGTTGGAGGGGGTGGTGGAGTGGTGGGGGCGTCGTGCCTGGTTGTGAGGGGTCGGGAGTGCTGGTGTTGGAGGGGTGCTGGTGGTGAGTGATGGGTTGCGTGAGTTTGGTGGAAGGAGGTGGTGTATAGTGGAGGCGGTTGAGGGGCAGTGTTATTGTTAGTAACTGTCTACTTTATCCTGCGCTCAACAAACAACACTTTAATTATCCAGATCCCTCGTGTCATTCATATTGCAAATCTCTGCTGTCAGCTTTCAATTTCTCTATTATTTATATAATTTTTTTACAAACTTTCCTTTTACACTGCCCACACATTCCCTTCTTTCAACAGATGTCTGTACTGGTAGAACTGAGAGGAGAGACTTCCAGTTGATGGTATGGAAGCCACGGTTAGGGCGATTGATGGGAATGAATGTCCCCTGGGAAAAATTTCCGTTTCTGTTTTGGGGCCAAACTGGGGGACGTAGGGAACCAACACCTGTCAGGTAGGACCTAGGCACTTTATTCCAGAGCGAATACCTGAGGGTCACAGGACTGAAAATTTCGGATCAGGAAAGTTGTACTCCAGGGACCTAAAGGATATAACCCCCCCCCATTAGGCACAACGGAGCACTGGGAGTGATTACTGAGACGAAAGAAGCCCACGAGAAGATTGTAAGAGGTAAAACATACACTGTGAGTGGTTCATGGATGGTGGTTATGGGGAGTCAAGGGGACATTTATGGTAGTGAAGGAGGGGAGAGCGTTGTTTGCTAGGGGTAACCACAGGGTCTTATATTTGGTGCCCAGGCAGTGATTAATGAGCGAGCTACAGTACCTGGTGTGTACTCCAGCGGGATGCTACCCAATCGTACTCCAGAGCAAGCCACACCTTCATGTGTCTGTTCTGTACCATAATTCCTTACCTTCATCGTGTCTGTCTATCATCATTACCTTAAAATGCATGTGTCTGTCTCTGTACATCATTCCCTACCTTAGGTGTCGCTGTACAATCATTTCCCTACCTTCAGTGTCGTTTTGTACATCATTCCCTTACCTCAGGTGTATGTACATCAATCCCTTACCCTTCAGGTGTCTGTCTGTTCCATCATTCCTATTACCTTCAGGTGTCTGTTTCCTTGTACCATCATTCCTTACCTTCAGGTTTGTCTGACTTTACCATCATTCCCTTACCGTCAGGTATCTGTACCATCATTTCCTTTTCCTTCAAGGTCTGTCTGTAAATCATTCCCTTACCTTCAGGTGTATGTCTGTACCATCATTCCCTTACCTTCAGGTGTCTGTACCATCATTCCCTTACCTTCAGGTGTCTGTCTGTACCATCATTCCCTTACCTTCAGGTGTCTGTCTGTACCATCATTCCCTTACCTTCAGGTGTCTGTACCATCATTCCCTTACCTTCAGTTGTCTGTCTGTACCATCATTCCCTTACCTTCAGGTGTCTGTCTGTACCATCATTCCCTTACCTTCAGGTGTCTGTACCATCATTCCCTTACTTTCAGGGTCTGTCTGTACACATTCCTTACCTTCTGGCTGTCTGTCTGTACCATCATTCCCTTACCTAAGGTTTGTCTGCTACCATCATTTCCCTTACCTTCTGGTGTCTGTCTGTACCATCATTCCCTTACCTTCAGGTGTCTGTCTGTACCATCATTCCCTTACCTTCAGGTGTCTGTACCATCATTCCCTTACCTTCAGTTGTCTGTCTGTACCATCATTCCCTTACCTTCAGGTGTCTGTCTGTACCATCATTCCCTTACCTTCAGGTGTCTGTCTGTACCATCATTCCCTTACCTTCAGGTGTCTGTACCATCATTCCCTTACCTTCAGTTGCTCTGTACTGTACCATCATTCCCTTAACCTTCAGCGTGTCTGTCTGTACCATCATTCCCTTACCTTCAGGTGTCTGTTCTGTACTCATCATCCCAATTCCCTTCAGGTATGTCTGTCTGTCCATCTTTCCCTTACCTTAGGTGTCTGTCTGTACCTTCATTCCCTTACCTTCAGGTGTCTGTATGTACCATCTTCCTTACTTCAGGTGTCTGTCTGTACCATCATTCCCTTACCTTCAGGTGTCTGTACCATCATTCCCTTACCTTCAGTTGTCTGTCTGTACCATCATTCCCTTACCTTCAGGTGTCTGTCTGTACCATCATTCCCTTACCTTCAGGTGTCTGTACCATCATTCCCTTACCTTCATGTGTATGTCTGTACCATCATTCCCTTACCTTCAGGTGTCTGTCTGTACCATCATTCCCTTACCTTCAGGTGTCTGTCTGTACCATCATTCCCTTACCTTCATGTGTCTGTCTGTACCATCATTCCCTTACCTTCAGGTGTCGCTGTCTTGTACATCATTTCCCTTTCTCAGGTCGTCTGTCTGTACATCTTTCCCTTACCTTCACGATGTCTGTCTTGTACATCATTCCATTAACACTCAAGGTGTGTGTCTGTACCATCATTCCCTTACCTTCAGATGTCTATCTGTACCATCATTTCCTTACCTTCAAATATCTGTACCATCATTCCCTTACCTTCAGATGTCTGTACCATCATTCCCTTACCTTCATGTGTCTGTCAATTATCCAGTTGAGCTCAAAATCCTCATCGTCATCACCGAACGGGTTGATCAACTGCTCGGCGACCTGTTGAAAACGACTGATGCACTAACAAGGTCCACCACGTGCATAGTGCTATCTTGACAGCAATAACATTGACAGTGCTATCTTGAAGACAGCAATAACATTGACAGTGCTATCTTGAAGACAGCAGTAACATTGACAGTGCTATCTTGAAGACAGCAGTAACATTGACAGTGCTATCTTGAAGACAGCAATAACATTGACAGTGCTATCTTGAAGACAGCAATAACATTGACAGTGCTATCTTGAAGACAGCAATACCGGCATAGTTCCCTTGACTCTCTCACTTAACTGAAGTTTAAACTGTGCTTAAGAAAGCTAGGTGTGGGACACAATATGCGGTTAATGACAGTTTATTTCAGAGCACTTTTCACCCACCAGCGGACTATACCAATTCTCCGAGAATTGATAAGGTCCTTGGTGGGCGAAACATCGTCTCAGTAAGGTGCTATAAACCGCACATTGTGTTTTATTAACGTAGGTCTCGGTTTGTTTAAACTGATGTACTGTGTTCACCTAAATGAGTAACCCGCTGCAGCCCGTCCCTGGATTGAGTAACCCGCTGCAGCCCGTCCCTGGATGAGTAACCCGCTGCAGCCCGTCCCTGGATGAGTAACCCGCTGCAGCCCGTCCCTGGATGAGTAACCCGCTGCAGCCCGTCCCTGGATGAGTAACCCGCTGCAGACGTCCTGGATAGTAACCCACTGCAACCCATCCCTGGATGAGTAACCACTGCAACCCATCCCTGGATGAGTAACCCGCTGCAGCCCGTCCCTGGATGAGTAACCAACTGCAAACCAATCCCTGGAATGAGTAATCCACTGCAACCCATCCTGGATGAGTAACCCGCGCAGCCCGTACCCTGGTGAGTATAACCACTGCAACCATCATGGATGAGGCAAACCCGGGCTGCAGCACGTCCTGGATGAGTAATACCACTGCAACCCATCCATGGATGAGTTTAGCGCACTGTAACCCAATCCTGGTGAGTAACCCGCTGCAAGCCCGTCCCTGGATGAGTAAACCTCTGCAACCCCATCCCTGGTTCCGAGTAGCCCACTGCAAAAAAACCCTTCCCTGGATGAGTAATCCACTGCACCCTTCATGGATGTGTAACCCGCTGCAGCCCGTACCTGGATGAGAACCCACTGGCAAACCATCCTGGATGAGTAACCCACTGCAACCCATCCCTGGATGAGTAACCCACTGCAACCCATCCCTGGATGAGTAACCCGACGTTTTCAAAACAGTTATCGAATTCCCCGTAACTACAGTAAGAGTGTAAATCTGAGAGTGTGTAAGTACCTTCAGGAGTCCCATGTAAAAGAAGAACTGCAGGATCGTGAAGAAGGGGATGTAGAGGTCCAGCTTAGCCTTGTAGGCGTAAGGTGACTTCTCCACGAACTGCCGCCCGACTATAGCCGCCAGGAAGAAAGCGTAGGTGGCTATAGTCACCACCTGCAAGAACCAGGAAGAACCTGCAGTCACGCTGACAGCCAACCAGCCTCTCACAGAACCTCTCATCCATAGTGTTTCTCTTGCACACGTCTCTCTCTCTCTCTCTCTCTCTCTCTCTCTCTCCTTATTTTCCTTTTTTCATTTCCTCTTTCTTTCGTTTTCACTTTCTCTGGTCTTATCTTCCTCACTCTTGGTTACATTTGGATAAGATTCTGTTGTACACTTTTGGGGTACAACAGTGTAAAATAAAACTTCGACCTCCAATTGATGTCCTCTTCAGCAGATAAGTATCTGCTGAAGAGAACCTCAGACCGTTCAGAGTGAGACGAACTGGGAGAACATGATGAAAATGCTCTTTGTCTGTCAGAGTTTAAATAGTAAATGACCTACAGCCTATGTGGGGGGGGGAGGGAGAAGTAATGTGACGTCAGCATGACAAGGGAGCCTGTCTATAATGTTATTAGGGAGTTTACCTATAAGTATAAATACTGGCGCAAATAATAATAATAAAATGGTATAATAATAATAATAATAATAATAATGATAATAATAATATAAAAAAGGTCTAGGAACTGGGAAGCGTGGTCTGGGACCGCATCGCGGGGGCCATGACCTCCCTTCCCTGGAGACCGACCACAGGTAAGCTACAGGTAATTCTGAATAACTAGCGGCCGGAAACAATGATGCTTCGTCCACAAAATATTTTTCCGATTTCAGTTATGTTTTTCTACAATAAAATGATAAATGAAGCGAACACGCAGTTTCGCTCATGTGATAACAGAATTAATAAAATTTTGTACAGCTTCAGGACTATGTGCTCTGTGCAGCGTGAACATGTGCACCTCCAGTGCACGTTTAGTACACGTCCAGTGGGGGATGAGGGGTCAAGGTGTGATATATGGGAAAGGAGGGGGGGTACGGATGGAAGTGTGGTCGTTTGATATGGGGGTCATCACGACCACTTCGTGTGTCCCGGAACTTAAGGTCGACATGATTCTGCTCTCGTAAACGCAGAACTACGTTCTCGCATTGTTTACCATATTTGTTTAATAAATTTAAGGAAAAAACAGTGAAGGACGTTGTGATCAGTCTCATGTATCCCCCTCCCCCTCCACACACACACACATACACACACACTGACGGACACATGCACACGTATCACTATACCCACACATGTTACCCCTGTGTGTATATATTACTAGACACATGAATGCATACACATATTCAAACACATACTGTGTAAATATTTGTATATTGAGACACACTGGTGAACCAAACAATGATCAGTGTCACTTATGAATATGTGAACACATATAAACACACGTGAGCACACGTGAACACACACATGCAGCACAACACATGTTTATTTGGCCTGACTTTTGATGGTTCTTTATTAATGTATTCGTGGGGAGAGCGCTAAGCCCGAAAGGTTAACAGAGCACCTAGAAAATGAGAAGTAATCAAGGCTAGACCGAAGGAAGGAATGAGACCTCCCATTTCTTGGATCAAGGGCCTTTCACTCAGACAACAATCCCTTTTAAAATACATCAATGCAGCACCGAAGAGTGACTCAGCGAATAAAAAATCTGGGAGGGAGGGAGGGAAAAATTCGAACTGGGGTCTAAGAAAATGACAGTCCAACTTCCTAACCACCGGGCCAGCACCAGCTTCACGGGATGCTCACTAACCCACAACAAACACTGTAGCGTAAGAGCTGCAGAGGCCGCCAGCTGTTGTCCATCTGTCAGTCTTACAGAGAGCATCTCTGAGTGGTGCACAGTTCGGCAGCAGTCAATGACCTTTGCAACTCTCAGTGTTACTGCTGTAAAGTGTTGGGTTAGAGAGTATACTAGCTAGGGTGTTACTGACTATCTGTGGGTGCATGGGTGGACTGTCGTTTTTCCTAGACCCCAGTTCGAATTTGCATAATACCGTGGTTGTTACAAACATTTATCATATATATTTATATATAATATAGATATATATATTATATAGTTTATATATATATATTATATATAATATATATATATATATATATTATAACCCATTTGTTGCATTAATAGTGTTGTGTGTTACAGTGTGTGTTACAGTGTGTGTCACACTAGTGTTGCTCACAATGAAAACATGAATTAATTAAAGAATCTATTAGGTCATTATCACAAATTATATAAGAAGTAGTTCAATAAGATAATATCAATGAGTTAGAACTTGTTACATTATATACTGAATGATCTCGTATATTCATCATATTATTATTACTTTCATTCTACATTATCAACAATTACATTAAATCTTAAAAGTAAACTTAACGAATTACATACACAGCATATAATTTATATATATAATATATATATTATAACTATATTATATATATATAATATATATATATATATATATTTATATATTTAATATATAGTTTTTTATTTATATATATATTTTTATAGTATATATTTATATTTATAGTTATATATATATATATATTTATTTTATATATATTTATTATATATTTTTATTATATATGAGACACTTGAAGGAGATGAGAAAAGGGTTTGTCTACGTTTTTAATCCTCTTTAAAGTAACTAGTACGGGACATAGGGAATGAACGTTGTCACATGAGTTTCTCTGATAAAACGAAAAAGAATATTTTTGCCGTCTGAATGTACTCACCTAATTGTGGTTGCAGGGGTCGAGACTCAGCTCCTGGCCCCGCCTCTTCACTGATCGCTACTAGGTCCTCTCTCTCTCTCTCTCTCTCTTCTCTCTCTCTGCTTCCTGAGCTTTGTCATACCTCGTCTTAAAGCTATGTATGGTTCCTGCCTCCACTACGTCACTTGCTAGGCTATTCCACTTCCTCATGACTCTATGACTAAAAAAATACTTCCTAACATCCCTCTGACTCGTCTGAGTTTCAGATTCCATTGTTGACCCCTTGATTCTGTGTACCCTATCTGGACTCCTATCTCTGTCACCTTATCTTTTCCCGCTGTATATGTATGTTTTCGTGTATCATGTCTCCCTGACCCTTCTGTCTCCAGTGTTGTCAGTCCGATTTCCCTAACTTTTCATCGAGGGACATTCCCCTGAGCTCTTGGAACTACCTTGTTGCAAACCTTGTACTTTCTCTCACTCTCTTTACGTGCCTTGACCATGTGTGGGTTCCCAATTGGTGCTGGCATATCCAGTTATGGGTCGACGTTACACAGTGTACAGATCACTTGAACGATTCCTTATTAGGTATCGGAACGCTATTCTCAGGTTTGCCCAGGCTCCCGTATGCTGCGCAGTTGATGCTGGTTGATGTGTGCCTCGGGACGTGCTCGGTGTTATGGCCACCCCAGAATCCTTCTCCTGTGTGAAGTCGTCTGTAGTCTTTCTGTCCACCTAGGCCGATATCTGTCTGAGGTCTTCTTTGCCTTTTCCATTCTTCATGACTTTGCATTTGGCAGGGTTTAAATTCGAGAAGCCAGTTTCTCGACACGTGTCCTCAGTCTGTCTAGGTCTCTTTGTAGTCATGCATCGATCCTCATCGATTTAATTCTTTCTCATCACTTCACATCAGCTGCGAATTGGGACACTCAGAGTCTATCCCTTCCATCATTGTAATTCACATATATAAAATAATAGCATGGTCCTAGAAACTGTCCCCTGTGGGACCCCGCTAGTCACAGGGCGACCCACAGTGATACCTCTCACGTACTATGACTCGTGTTGCTGCCCTGGTCAGGTATTCTCTGATCCCAAATTGCAGTGCCCTCCCTGTTATATGCGACTGATCTTCCAGCTTCTGCGCTAATCTCTTGTGAGGAATTGTGTCGAGGGCCTTCCTGCAGTCCAGGAAAATGCAATCCACCCACCCCTCCCTCTCGTGTCTTACTTCTTTTACCTTGAAGATTGTGGTTAGGGGCACACACAGCGTCTCTGGTCCTTCTCTAAGGACCCACGGGGAGATGTTGTCCAGACCTCTCGCCTTTGAGGTATCAAGGTCACTTAGCAGCTTTTGCACCTCCTCCTCCGTTGTTCGTATGTTGGTATATTCCCTGTTGATGTTCCCCTCTGTGATGTCTCCCAAGAGCCTTCTGTCTCCTTACAGTAAAACACTTCCTTAAATCTCTGTTTAGCTCTCACTACCTTTGATCGTTTATTGGTGAGTTCTCACTTCAGTCCTCAGCCTGATCACTGGTCTTTGACTGTTGTTTCCTCCTGTTGTGGATATACAATAAGTTTAGGTCAGACATGAATTTTCAATACTATGTTCATTTCATACTGTCTCTGGGCCTCCCTTCCTTACCTGTGCGTAATCTCTGGCTCTGCGACTGTCTCCCTTTTTTCATGTGTTCTTCTTTTTTGACTTCTGTACTTTTTCCATTCTCATATTGCACTTAGTTTTTGCCTCCTTACACCGTGTCGGTTAAAAAACCAGGGGCTCGTTCTGGTCTTCTCATTATTTCTGTTCCTTGGGAATAAACTTCCTCTGACTCCATGATTTTGTGGTGTGGGTGTGTGTATGTGTGTGTTGTGTGTGTGTGTGTGTATGTTATCTAATGGGAACTCAATGTTTCTCACACTTGAGGCATAGACTCTCGAGAAACTCAGGAAACAAAAGCTGTTGAGATGTGTGTTTTGTTTTTGGTTTTCCTGCTCCTTTTGCTGGTGCTTATGGGTGGACAGATCTGGTGGACCCATCTATGTTTGTCTCTTTGTCCCGTGACCTTTCATATTCCAGTGATCTGTCATTAGTCCAGTGGGCGTCGTAGAAGTACATGTGAACCCCGTCATATTCCCGTGACGTCAAAAAATTTTTTTTTTTACAGTTGACCCGTCATATTCCTGGTAAGAGGACGAAAAGGGGTAGGCAAAAATCTTTTAACCAGCTAGCCAGGTGTGTTCCGGCACAAATGATTGCACAGTCAAAAACCTTGTACTGATGCAGCGTGACAGCAAGTCCATCCTTCTCATCGTTCCTCTGGGAACTGAGGTTCAGTAAGACGCACCAACTAAG